AAATTTAATTTTATTTTCAAATTAATTGGAAAATAAAAGTTACATTCGTGTTTCTTTTATTTTTACAGAATTTAATTCTGTGAATTTGGTTTAATTTTCTGTATAGTGTAAATTCTAATTATAATTTTGTTTTATAAATTAGAATTGATGGCTATTAAAACTAATGCCCAAATAAGTACTACTATGGTGGCCGCAATGACGCCAAACCCCTCTCCTGCGATGACAGTACCAATAAATCATGGAGAGAAGCCAAAGAAGTTCTCAAGAACTGACTTTAAAAGATGGCAACAGAAAATGTTATTCTATCTTACAACTCTGAACCTGAATCGTTTTCTTCATGAAGAGGCTCCTATCCTGAAAGAGGATAAAACCGACCGGCAAGTGGTTATTGCGGTTGATGCTTGGAAACATGCCGATTTCCTTTGCTGGAATTACGTCTTGAACGCACTTGACAACACATTATACAACGTCTATAGTCCAATCAAGACAGCAAAGGAACTTTGGGAATCGTTGGAGAAAAAGTACAAAACGGAAAATGTCGGTTCAAAGAAATTTGTGGTTGGCAGATTCTTGGATTTTGTAATGGTTGATTCAAAAACTGTGATCAGCCAAGCTCAAGATTTTCAACTCATTCTGCATGACATTCACGCAGAAGGCATGTCTCTCTGTGAATCCTTCCAAGTTGCAGCCTTAATTGAAAAATTACCAAAAGGCTGGAAGGAATTCAAGAACTACCTCAAACACAAGCGCAAAGAAATTTCTATGGACGAATTAATTGTGCGTTTGAGAATTGAGGAGGACAACCGCAATTTTGAAAAACGGGCTGGTAAGCATCCTATGGAGTCTAAAGCAAATGTGGTGGAACATACTTCAAAAACTAAGAAACGAAAGTCTTCTGGAGAAAGTTCATCACAAGGCTCTAAGGGGGGGGATAATAAAAAGTACAAGTTTAATGGCAAATGTTACATCTGTGACAAAGAGGGACATCGGGTCAAAGATTGCCGTAGCAAAGGCAAAAGTAAAAGAAGCACAAGCAAGAAGCCTGCTCAAGCCCATATGACCGAAATGGACAATATTTCCAATGGTGTCGATGACATCAATCTTTCTGCAGTTGTTTCCGAGGCAAATCTTGTCGGAAATCCTAAACAATGGTGGGTGGACACTGGTGCTACTCGCCATATTTGTGCCAACAAAAAGATGTTCACATTTTATTCTACAGTGGACAATGGTGAACAACTTTTTATGAGCAACACCTCAACTTCCAAAGTTGAAGGACAAGGAAAGATTGTACTCAAGACGACATCTGGAAAGGAACTCACACTCAACAATGTGCTGCATGTACCGGACATTCACAAGAATCTTGTTTCCAGATCATTGTTGAGTAAAAATGGGTTTAGGCTAGTATTTGAGAGTGAGAAATTTATACTTACTAAGAATGGGATGTATGTAGGAAAATGTTACATGTTTGATGGCCTTTTCAAGTAAAATGTAATGACCGTTGTACCATCAGTTATTAATAATACTACATATTCTTCTTACTTGCTTGAGTCTTCAAATTTATGGCATGGTAGACTAGGATATGTTAATTATGGATCTTTGCGTAGATTAATTAATATGGAATGTTTACCTAAATTTAACATTGATTCAAATCATAAATGTGAAATTTGCTTTGAGGCAAAATTATCTAAAACTCATTTTCATTCAATTGAAAGAAGTACGGAACCACTTGAATTAATTCATAGTGACATTTGTGATTTTAAATCAATTCATACTAGAGGTGGGAAAAAGTATTTTTATCATTTTTATAGATGACTATACTAGATATAGTTATGTTTATTTAATTCGAACCAAGGATGAAACTTTGGAAACTTTCATTCAATATAAGAATGAAGTTGAAAATCAACTTGGTAAGAAAATCAAGAAACTTAGAAGTGATAGAGGTGGTGAATATAAATCACCTTTTGGTGAGTTTTGTAAAGAACATGGAATAATTCATCAAACCACCGCTCCTTACTCACCTCAGCAAAATGGAATTGTTGAAAGGAAAAATAGGACTTTAAAAAAAAATGGTGAATGCCATGTTAATAAGTTCTGGATTACCTCAGAACTTGTGGGGGGAAGCAATACTTTCTGCAAACTATATTTTAAATAAAGTACCCTGAAAGAAAGTGAATCAAACACCTTATAAAATGTGGCATGGAAGAGCACCATCCTACAAATACTTAAAAGTGTGGGAGTGTTTGGCTAAAGTGGCTATTCCTAGTCCTAAAAAGAATAAGATAGGTCCTAAGACCATTGATTGCATTTTCATTGGTTATGCTAAGAATAGTAGTGCATATCGGTTTTTGATTTATAAATCAGAACATTTCGAAATGCATGTAAATACTATTATTGAGTCTCGGAATGCATTATTCTTTGAACATGTATTTCCAAATAAGACTGGACAAGAGACTAGTAATAATAAGAGATCTTTTGACGTTATTACTAGTAATGATCAAGAATATGATCAAGAGTAAGAGTTAGACCAACATGAGGAAGAAGAACCTAGGCGTAGTAAACGTGCTAGAACCTCAAAATCTTTTGGTCCAGATTTTCTAACATTTTTGTTAGAAAATGCGCCTTTAACTTTTAAAGAGGCTATGTCCAGTCCTGAAGCTCCTTTAAGGAAAGAAGCTGTCAACAGTGAAGTTGAATCTATCTTGCAAAATCACACTTGGGAATTGGTAGATTTGCCACTAGGTTGTAAACCTCTTGGGTACAAGTGGATTTTCAAAAGAAAATTGAAAGTGGATGGATCAATAGACAAATACAAGGCAAGACTTGAAGTCAAAGGTTTTAGACAGAAAGAAGGTCTAGATTACTTTGACACATACTCACCGGTTACTAGAATAACATCCATTAGAATGCTAATTGCTATTGCATCTCTATACAATCTAGAAATTCATCAAATGGATGTGAAAATCACTTTCTTAAATGGTGAGTTAAATAAAGAAATTTACATGGAACAACTAGAAGGTTTTTCTGTTCCAGGGAAAGAAAAGAAAGTGTGTAAATTGGTTAAATCATTATAAGGTTTAAAACAAGCGCCAAAGCAATGGCATGAGAAATTTGACAAGACAATGATGTCAAATGGATTTAAAATTAATGAGTGTGACAAATGTGTTTATATTAAAAACACAGATAAAGGTTATGTCATTGTATGTCTTTATGTAGATGATATGCTCATCATTGGTAGTAATAATGACATGATTAAAACTACCAAGAAAATGTTGAATAAACATTTTGACATAAAAGACATGGGCATTGCTGATGTAATTCTTAGTATGAAAATTACCAAAACATCAGAAGGATATGCTTTGTCACAATCTCATCACATTGAGAAAATACTTGACAAATTCAGCAAAGATGATGATCATCTTGCTAGAACTCCTGTAGATGTTAATTTGTATCTTTCTAAGAATGTACAAGAAAGTATTTCTCAATTAGAGTATGCCCAAATTATTGAAAGTTTAATGTACTTGATGAACTACACTCGTCCAGATATAGCTTATGCAGTAAGTAAATTAAGTAGATATACGAGTAATCCGGGAGTAGAACACTGGAAAACAATTATAAGGGTTCTTAGATATCTCCGATTTACTCGTAACATTGGGCTTAATTATACTAGATATCCAACAGTACTCACTACAAGAAATTGCACTTTTGGCGACTACTTTTGGCGACAACGTCAATTTTTCATAGGCAAAACTATATTTTTGGCGACATTTTGGCGACAACGTCAATTTTTCATAGGCAAAACTATATTTTTGGCGACACAGTGATCAATTTCGTTGGTAAAAGTAGACCTTTACCGATGCAATTTACAATCGTTGCTAAAAGAGTATAACATTCACTAGGCGCCAAAATTATTGGTTGGCGTCAAAATTTCAAAAATTTTAGCTACGAGGCTTATTTTTTAGCAACACAATAAGCGTCGCTATTAGTGTGCTTACTTTTGGCAACGACTAGTTGGTGTGGGCAAAGAGTTAAACATTTAGCGACGATAACACTATTCGTTGGTAAAAACTTTGCTAGTGAAATCAGGTGATTTAGTGATTTGTGTTTTTATTATGACTTTTCAAAGAGTTTTAAATATTCTAGTTATTGAATTGTAAAATTAAAGTGATCATCGAATTAGATCACAAAATGAACCCATCAAGCCCAAACACACTCTTAAGTTGAGATGGCTAATTTGAGATAATCTAAACTTTCCAAAGAATGTTAGATTATCAATTTTAATATATTTGGTTTTATTTTCAGAAACCTGTTTTAGATTTTTTTTTTTCCTGAAAAACTTAAAAAAAATTTGGTGAAAAAATCAAAAAAATACTTATTATTTTTGTATATTGAATTGTAAAATTAAAGTGATCATCGAATTAGATCACAAAATGAACCCATCAAGCCCAAACACACTCTTAAGTTGAGATGGCTAATTTGAGATAATCTAAACTTTCCAAAGAATGTTAGATTATCAATTTTAATATATTTGGTTTTATTTTCAGAAACCTGTTTCAGATTTTTTTTTCCTGAAAAACTTAAAAAAAATTTGGTGAAAAAATAAAAAAATACTTATTATTTTTGTATAATTTTATCTTTTAGGAGGTTATAAATAATTTAAAAATATATTTCTAATTTTTATAGTTTTCAAATTAGTTTTAATTTTTTTTAAAAATTAAAAATTATTTTATTTTTATTTTTGGTGATCTGTCTTTAAAAATTGAAGCGGTGATAAGTTACCTCTCAAAATTCTGTTTTTTTCTAGGAGGTAAAACCCCCCGTTACTCTCAAAATTTTCTCTTTTAATTTTCACATTGCACAATTTATATTGTGAATGATATTTAAAATAAATAAATAAATAAATAAAAGCGCCAATGACCAAAAATGTATTACGAACTGTGGCTTCTAATTGTGTTCTAAAAGGAAGTTTTTTTTGGGTGAAAGGAAGTTAGAAAGCTGTAAATTAGATAACCTAGAAGAGAGGGAGAAGAGAGAAGGTTCGAAGAAGAGAGAAGGTTCGAAGGGGAGAGTGGTTCAACGGCGCCAGATTTCGAAGGGGAACTATCGACGGCGGCAGCGATCGACGGTTCGGCAAGACCGGTTCGGCGGCGAGATTGGTTCGGCGGCGAGATTGGTTCTTCTCTTCGATCTGTAAAAAATCTCAGGTATGTTCGGATTCCCCACCCCCCCTGCCTCTCTCTCTCTCTCTCACATTCATGTAAAGCACTATGTAAACATTTGGGGTTGTAGTCTCTTACGGTGGAGGATCAACAATTGACGATTGCGATATTTCATATGATCTCATGTTGTATAGGACAATTTCCGAGATTTTTGAATGACATAAGAATATGACTAGATACACTTGGGAATTCAATAGATTTCATATGCCTTGTGTAAGTGGATCCTAATCATGTTATGGACACAACACAATATGATCTCATCTTGTATAGGAACATCTGTGGGATTTTAGAGTCAAATAAGCATATGATTAGATCACGTGGGAAATTAAACATTGGGTTTCATATACCTTGATTAAGTAGATACTAGTCATGGATGTCTGAAAAGCATTAATTGTAACCATTTATACTAAATCGTAATGCCTGCTGTTGATTCATGAATAACTTTCTGAGATGTGTTACTTTGCAACCGAAGTTCGTGAATGTGCTTGTGCAGGACAGGGATTGTATAATTTCAGGGTATATTTATTAGAAATCTTGAATTAGAACAGATTAGATATGACTATTCAGTTAGGAAGGTTTATCTGGTGTTGGAATATAGTATGAAGTAAAGCAGAAAATAGATAATTTTTAGCAAAATGCAGTTGATGTCTAGTTTCTGGTCTATAAAATTCAGAATTAGAGAGAAATGTGTGTAATATTTTGATTGCTTTTGGATTGGCTTATCAATCCAGGAAAATCATCCTTAACCATGTTCCATGGCATAAAGTTGAAAAGAATATCAGTGTTTCCGGTTCAAGTCTATTGCAATACATATTGCTATGGTTCCACAATGATATTGATTGACTTATATAGATTGTCCTGTATCGCTATATCATTAGTGAGAGAGATATTTTTGAAAGTGTTGAATAATGAACTACAATTAGGATAACTTTTACTGCATAATGTTGTGATAAATAACAATGGGCTTGGAACCAAACATTGCCTAAAGTTTTTGAAGTCTATTGCTAATCGTTTCCATATCCTAAGATTGATTGACAACCACAAAAAGAATCAAAACCTGACATATTAAAGCTGCACTTGAATCAGCAAAGAACATAAAAAGAAAAGGAGAAGAAAGAAATAAAATTAAAAAGCTACTGTCATCCTTGTATGCAATAATTGCTCTTACATTAGTCTGCCATAAATTCTTGAGAAAAAACATCAATATAGTTCAAAATGATGACACAATGTAACTTGTAAGGTGGATGTTTCTGGTCCTTGTACATAGGGTGGTTGCATCCAAGCATAAAAGTGAAGCCACGTGAGAAAACAAATATACCTTAATGCATATCAATGTTCTAATTATAAAATTCTAAAAATATCAAATTACATTTTTTTTTCGGGTGTCAAAATTAGTGGGTTGGTTAATTAGTTAGTAGTAAGTTAAATTACTACTTATAAATATTCGATGCTTCACCATAAATTCAAACTCAGAATCTCTCCCAATTTATTTCTTAGAAATCAAGGAGTATAACCACTTGAATGTTTGGAAAAAAATAAATAAATAAAACCCAAGGATCTCAACTACTTCACCTAAACTTAAGTTCTTCATAAAACTATCAATTGATCCATATTAAAAATAGAAAAACAGTTTAGTCTTTAGCATAATTTGAACAAAGTGACAAATGTAAAGCAATAAATATATACATATTGTAAGTACATCTACAAAGACATTTTGTTTATGTCCATTATTCAATATTCTACCTAAGTATGTAATGCAATAGGGGATGGGTAGTGGCAGAAGAAAGATCTGTCTTTAGGTCTGATGTGTGCACTACAAGAAATAAGGGTTTTTGCAGCGTTTTTTTAACGACGTTTTTTAAAACGTCATTTTTATTAATATTTAACGACGTTTAAAAACATCGCATATTTTTTAAATTAAAACGACATAGTTTTGTGATTGAAGGCGTTTAAAAACACCTCCAAATGCGGTAGGCCACACGTGCCTATTTTGAATCTGAGAATAAAGCCTTTGTAAGCCCTTAGGCTTTCAGACATAAACCAACAATGGATCCTCACGTCGCCTCTCTCAACCCTCTCTAAACCCTTATTTTGAATCTCACCTTCAAATCTCACAGATTCACCGATTTCGAAGTTCCACCGCCACCACCATCTGCACCGGCGAGGTAGCAAGATTCACCGATCTCACAGATTCACCTAAATTGTATTATTGAAGTTATTTGGAGAATGAAAGTAGTTTATTTTGTGAATACGAAGCTGTGTAATTACATTTATGGTTTTATGATAGTTGTTAACTTCTATTAAGCTGTGAAATTACTTTCCAATTCCAATTCCAGTATGGTATTCTAGCAGCTTTAACTTTAACAACCTCATCAGCTCTATTTATTGGTCTAAGAGTAAGATGAGCTTTAGGCTTTTCTTGATTCCATTCAGTTAATTTGTTGGCTCTCTTGTTTTCTTTAATTTTCCCACAGTTCCTCTCTCATTTTCTCTCACTTTCTCGCCCCAGCAAATTCCGACGAACGGTCTCCAGCAAGAAAAGGTGAGTAGAACCCTAGTCTGGTTTTATCAGTTACCTATACCATCAATATCCATATCGTTAGATATTTTTTGAATATGCTGAACATGTTCATTTGTCATCAATGTGAAGGATAATTTTCCATTGTTGTTTTGTGGAGAAGAATCTTTATTGTATAACATGATTTTGAAAATTTAGGTGTTAAGTATTTTTTTTCTTAAAGTTAGATGACAACTATTATAGTCAGTTTTCTTTTCCTTGTTTATCTGGAACATATGTCTTTCTCACTTATGCTTGGTGTCATTTCAATGTGTGGTGCTCATGCTTGTTAGATTGATGACTATGAAAAATAGAACTTATGTGCTCTTGATCTATGATATTAGGCTCTTCATCTCAGGTACATTTTTTAAATCAATTAATTCTTTGGTAGTCAATTTTGTTTCAGATTATTGAACCTAAGCATGAATTATATAAATAAATGGCGTGGTTTAAGATTTTGTAGATTTGTTTGTTTTTCATTACTTTTGAGAAGAGGTGGTAATTGATTTGCAAGACAGTTTGGGAAACTGATATGTTTTTAGTAATTTTGTCATGGATTAGATAGCTCATACTATAGATGGTCTCATGACCTCAAAGTGACAATGTATGAGAGTATTTGGGTGTTTGCAATTAATTAATCTGTTTGGTAATGCTCTGTTTGCAGTTTTCCTTCCTCTTTCATGTTGGACCTTCTTTCTCATGGGTACTCAAGAGGAGTATGATGAGAACATTGCTTAACTTGAAATAAATAAATAAAACCAGTTTTTAGTCATCGATATATATTTTGGGCATCTCCACTCACTTGAATGCTCATAATTAGTTCTTTATTTGAACATAATAATTAGTAAATTAGTAAATGAGAAGAAATATTTTGACATATAATTGGTGATATATAATTAGCAATCTTGAGAAAAACAGGGAGAAATTGCAATTCAGCCTATTTAATTAAAAATATTTACAAGTTTCTCACCTTTTGTGTAAAAAAATAGAGCAAGAGTTGCCCTCCCGTAAATTTCTCACCTTTTGGTAATTTTGCAACCTTTTCGCCCCTTTTTTCTACTTTCGTGAGTTTGCTTTACATATACACTAGGAAATTTTTATTAATATTCCTATATACTTGTATAGGTGAGACTTGTTGAAATTCTAGTGAAAGAGTGTCAAAAAATTGGACTCATTGTAATTCCTCTCATTTTGAAACGTGTAAAAAAATTGGACTCAGTGTGATTCCTCTCATTTTGAAACAAAGGTACATCACTTAGCTCATAATTTTAAAAATGTTGTTCCCACTTATTATGGATGAGATTTACATATAAAAATTCAGTATGGTTACATAATTCACATGGTTGCTAATGTATTTGCATGGTGTGATGTGCGCATGAGCTTATGAATATGATTGCGTTTTGTGTACATTTGTTTCCTCGGTGTAGAGTGCGGTGGATACTGTGTTGGCAGATTCTGAGTGTTATGGCCTGGCCGGCTCAGATGTTCGAATGTCCTGTTTCGTTAACAAGGTAATACCTTTCCTTAATGTGATTGAACATGTAGTTAGTCACCCATCAAATATATAAATATAGATGTGTGCATCCACATATATGTGGTTAGTTTGGTGGTCTGACAACTGAGCATGGATTCTGTAGGCTTTAGTAAATGTTGGTGGTGAACTTGCAAAGGTTGTCCCTGGTCGAGTTTCAACAGAAGTGGATGCTTGTCTTACATATGACACACACAGCATTGTTAGGAAGGTATTGATTTCTTCCAGGTTTTTTAAGTTGAATGTAGGATGTTGGAACTTAAAAGGTTGATTAAATTTCAGTGATGCTATGCAATCCAGTTTTTTCTAACAAATTTTATTACCTGACATAAGGTAGTGGGACCGACATAATTACGTTTGGTTCATTCACTCATGTCTATAATGAAGATACTGCCATAAGTTAATGGCAGTAAATATCATGCTTTCAATTACTTTTTTGGTAGTTCTTTCTATATTGATTTAACGTTCTGAGCAGCATGCTTTTGTCTTATCTCAAACTACTTTGAGTTGTTGCTCAGTATATTCAACCCCCATTGAACATGAACTGTTCAACAAAGGTTGTGACTCAATTTTTTTATTTTTTTTTTAATTTTATATTTTCTCAATAAGGGGTTTTCTCCCTGACCTGCTGAAACTGTATCATGGAATTGACATCCCTCTAGAACGATTGTTGTTTAAAATTCCTTCAACTTTGCAAGTGAGTATCTGAGAAATGTGTGTATATTTTATATGTTAAGAACTGCATGACACATGAATGTTAGTAATTCTTTGTATTCCTTTGTGGCTTGTAATGTATGGGTTTCCACTCAGGGAATAGAGGCATCAAGAGTATTGGAACCTGAAGGCATACAGACACACTTGACTTTTGTTTATAGGTGCATTGTAGTGGAAGCTTGTCCGTCAAATATTGAGTTTGTTGGTTATGAAAACTTTGAATGAATTTTTATATTAATTCAGATGTGAAACTCCATTTATCAAGTGATCATTAACTGATTGTCGTGATGAAAATTAAGCTCATGTTCGTGCCATTATATCTGGCAAATGTAATATACACGGGTGTTAAAATGTTTCATATTAAAGGTCTCTGATCTAGCTATTGAAGTGATTTATATGGAAGGTGTGGTCATTCTATACATTTTGATATTTAGGATTTTGAGATACTCTAGTTGCTCCCTCTCTCAAGATAATAATGACAATAATAAATAATATAAAAAAAAAATCGCATAACGAACCTTGACTGCAAAGATGTTTGCTATGCATTATGCCCGAGTAAAAAGTTGTGAAACATTCTCTTAAATACAAGCTTGGATCATTTTAAGAAAATCCTTCTGTTATTTTCTCGTTGAATAGTTTCTTGAACTTGCTTTATTGTTGCTATTTTAGTTTACTTGTCCCATCCCATTTGATATCCTTTGAAATATTAAATTACACTGAAAATGAGGATTTTACTTTTTCATTTGTGCACAACCAAGATGCCTATAGCATTTTAGTGTTACCTGATGACGACACCAGTAATTTGCAATGTGAATCACAATTACTTTTCTTAGGCCACTCAAAAGTCCCCAACTCAACTGATGGCCAGGTGTGCTTGGATGCTGAATTGAATGGCCAAAACTAGGTCAATCTAGACATAGAAAATGCGAATGCTTATCCCCCATGCCTTGTGGATATGGACATTGAGAAGGGAAATTCAGAGACACCTAAAACCAATGATGAAGATGTGGAAAAATTGAAGTTTGAGGGTCCGCTAACTGTAAGTTCCATTTGTATTTGCATACATACATATACATTCTATATATGATCTCCTTATTTAAAAGTCAAAAACTTTTAAATTGGGCTGACAATGTGGTGTGATAGCAATTGATTTACAATCAATTGGCTATACATACTGCCAGCATCCTTTGTCTCTAATTTTGTTATAGTATTCAATTGAAATATGATTTTTTTTAAACATCATGATTAAACAGCATTTGCAGAAGGCATTGCAGAGACAGATTAGCTTACAAATAGGGGAGAAGGTTGTGCAGCTTTTAATGAATAGCCTTGTGTCACCCAAATTCCATTCTAGAGGTATATAGCATCCTCACTGCCTTTTTCTTGGTGAACTATTATTTCATGTAAAACTCTGAAATTTATTTGTTTCTACATGGTCAATCCACAAATGCTATCCATATCTCCCCTAATATTTACTGCATTCAAGTATGGGCTTGAACTTTCTCCTCAAAATATTGTGCCAAAGAGCAAGCTGTAATGGAGCACTTTTGCCACTAGAAATGTGTACTATACCAGGCTAGGATGGATGTTTCAATTTTCAAGTGTATTTTCTCTTAATGGCTGAAACTCAGATGTGCTTTATAGATTTAAATTGTTTTTCTTGTCATGGGATTCTAATTATTTTATTCAAACTTGTAATGTGTTTCATGTGTTTGAGCGATAGGCACCTGTATTTCCCAAGTCTCTGAAGTGTATTTGAATTTAGATTTTTTTTTTTTTAAATAACAGGATATGGTTGATGTGTGTCCAACAGGTTTTCAGAAGTGCCCGATGAGTGTTGTGTTGGTGTTTGACACGACATGACATGACACCTTAAAAGTGTTCATGTTTCATAGGTGTCAACTATTAATGCTATTCAGCTTACTCAACTAGAATTCAAATACTTTATGCATGATTGTATTTATGTAGTCTTTGTTACAATTATTTTTCCTTAGTTCGAAACTCAGATGTGCTTGTTTCTTGGTTTTGTCACTGCAGTTGATTTTACCATCAACAAAAAGAGGGGGTTGTGGGTCAACACTGGAGGTATAATCTACTTTTATAGTTTATTTTGCACAACCTGAGCCTTTTGTGGACAGACATAATTTGACTTGCAACTGCCATACGTATGTTGAATAGAGAATGTTGGTTGTTTCTGCTATACATATGCTTCAGTCTCTCTTCTGCTTCCTTGGATGTGTAACCAAACAATTAGGGAGGACTTCACCTCTCCACATAAAATTCACAATGGCCAGGATATACAGTTATTGTTTTCTGTATCTATTTCAATTATAATTTGGTCCATCTGCATCAAAGTTGTGTCCAATGAGCTTGTCTTTTAACCATCATTTGTTTTTGCAGAGTTACAATCGGGATCTTTTCTTATTTCTCTACTTCCTTCTCATCATAGTTTCAGCAATTACTTCTTTCAAGATTCATCATGATAAGTCACCAATCTCAAGAAAATCCATACTGTATCTGAACAGGCATCAAACTGAAGAGTGGAAAGGTTGGATGCAGGTTAGTCAGTTTTTAAGATGACATGTCTATTTCTTAGAATTGTCTAATTTATTGTTACTTGTTTTCAGTGTAAAAGAAACAATTTATTTCCTCTGTGTTTGTTTCTAGTCTCTTGTGATTTCTTTGGAAGTTTGAGCTCTAATCAATATAATTCCCTCCCACTCCTTTGTGTTTCTCTACCTGGAAACATTTCCTGTCTTGTCTGCATCTTGTAGTCAATCCATAGAAAATATATTGTAGTTGATATAGAGAAGTAACTTTGAGATGGGAAATTGCAGTTGGAAATGGTTAGAGAGAGAGAGAGAGAGTCAACAAGTTGCT